TTTGTTTTTATGTAGGGATGCAATTATTAAGTTGTTCTCCGCGTGCTTCAAGTGAGATGCCTCTACATTTGGCCTTGGCTCTCTCTCTGTGTGCTGCTTTGGCTCCAGCTTCGGTGCTGCCTTCAATGCCACTCGTGTACCCACTCTGCAGCCTGGCACAGACACCACACCACACTACAGGCTCCCCTTACTCTCCCCAACGGATGGACACTCTCCATCTGTGTGAACAAGCACACACAGACAAGTACTCTCTCTCTCTTACACAAACACACACCTGTGCTTTACATTCAAGTAGAAAACTATGAAGAATGAAACAAATACCCAAGTAACAAATCTTATTGGGTAAATGGTTGAGTTTCGGACTCTGTCTTGTAACTGTAGTGACATGTTTTGTGCAGCAAGATGGGGTAGCTTATTTTACATTTATCTGCTGTGTAATTGCTTAATAATTCCTTCCTACGTGCCTTCATCTCTGCCTTCATCCAAGGATTACTTGAGGACTATTGGGTAGAAATGTAACCAGTGTTTGCGGTTTTTTTTTGTATTTAGATTTATTTCTTTTTTTTGCAAGAACAAGATTTCTAAGTAATTGTTCCAATTATATTTTAGTTCAGAAGTTATCTATAATAGGTAAGTGAAAGGATGTCAGAAATGTCTTATTAGATAAGTCAAATATTAAACACTCATTAGGGTGGCAATGAATATCTTTAGGGTTCATTTGTCTTCAGACAACCCCATTTCTTTCTTTGAATTTAGGTGCAAAATGATGTGATGAATGTTTCATATGCCTGTCCTCATATTTTCAAATCATGTCTGGCACATTTCCTTTGAACTGTATTGATTTAAAAAATGACAGTGGTAGTTTTTCTTCGTTACTGTATGTCAGCTGTATATTTACTGAAGAGATTCATTTTATGTATAAAAATATTTTTCTGACTGAAAAATGCATTCCAGAATTGTTTTATCATGACTGAAATGGAACTTTTCCCTATCATGTTGATTAATGTTTGTTTCGTTATATAGATTTGCATTATTTCTATGAAAAGAAATATGTGTGTTTAAATATAAATATATTTATATGTGTGGTGTTTAAGAATTGTTACTGTTATATGGACATTTTAACAATCCTTCCTATTAAACATTAATCAGATTCATGTAGACTAAGTGAATCAATTTCCCTTTTTTTAATCCTAGTTTTATTTACATTTTGTTGTCAGTGCATCCTATGACCTGAATGAGTATTTCTTTAATTGAAAGTACTTACTGTCATTTAAGAAGCCCCATCCCACAATGCATCTGTGAGACTTTTATAAGTTGACTGATGTGCTTAAGTCATCTCTGCTAGTGAAAGGTCAGGGAGGGTTGGTTTGCTGATGTTTGATATGCAGGAGGATTCTCCGCTAATGAGACTCTTTTTTTCGGATTTAAACTCTTTGAATCCTCTAATCTCCATGCGCGTGGCTCTGTGATTAGAGCGCCGGTCGCTGGATCGAGTTTCCGTTCATTCTCGCCCGCTGCAGAGAACATCCAGTATTTGATTTCTGCTCCACATGGCTTCCACAGTACTAACGCTCTTTGACAGTATGCCCTTATTTACGCCCTCACATATGAGTTCATCTTGTGAATCACAGTGGATGTTCTGATGTTTCATACCAGTCCGACTTTAGGAAGCAGAATGAGGTTTAAAGCATCAAATAACGGGTAGCCTTCATCGTTAATTTAAAAGGAGATATGCTGATTTAGCGTTCTAGTTACAATGTCCCCAAAAAATGTAGTATATATAGCTATATGTAGTGTCCGGTCATGATTGGGGTACGTTTCGTACGTAGTGGAAGATAGACCGAATCTGATCTTTAAAATTTTAGTTATATAAACTATTATGGGTCAGACAAATTTGAATAAGAATGTCCAACCTGAAATTTTAAAACTCATGTCCTTAGATGCATTTGCATTCATTTTTTGAAAAACATTTAATAATTTTTTTTACAATTATGTGTGAGTTATGAATATATCACTAGCCTATTTCTTAAGGTTATTCCATTTGACCCAAACAACCGTTTCATAAAAAGGTTAAAAAAAATGTGATAGATTATTTTTGAAAATCTAAATGACACACGTTTTATTCTACCCTCACATGACAAAAACAGTTCCTATTTATGAATTTTTTATAAAACATTTTTTTCTCCCGACAGTAAAAAAAAAAAAGACTTATTCGAGAAAATTGAAACATGGTAATAATAAAGGAGTCGTACTGAAGTATTTTTTTAAAGTGTATTTTTAAATAACTACACATTACGTCATTGATACGTTTACAATGAAATAAAATACAAAACAAAACTTTTTTTTTTTGTCTTCTTTGTCTTCCTATATAATTTCTGTATTCATAATGTCATCCAATGTTACATTAACTGTTGAATGTTAAGTGTTTATACCTGCAATAAAAAAATTTAAATAAATAAATAAAAAAGGAATTTAACAAAAAAAAAAAAAAAATGTCATTTACGAGCTGTCCATGGTTCTGAAAAAAGATTTTTGTTTTATTGAGAAGCCATTTATATAGGCCTATTGCATAAAACACATCCGGAGTGTGATTTACGAGTTGTTTTCCATCATGCTTTTCATTCCTTTACGTAAATTAACGTAACGTTAGCGGTCGTAAGGTACCTTTATTTTTCTCGCTGAAGTGTTATGCCTGTAAATTTCCTTCGAATTTTCTGCCCAGGTTTTTCCTGTTATTCAAACAGCAAAACATTTCCTAAATATAAATATGAAGGTCGAAAATAAACTTGAATGTAGAACATTAAAGTGGGGTTTGAACTGAAAACAATGGGTTGTGAATGAACCACTTAATTGGAGAAACCCACGTGACTGCAGGTTTGTCCTCCGGTCATAAGAACAGGTGGTCGCAGAGAGCTGAAGGTACAGATCCAACATACACACTGAGTGTATGCTAAAGAGAGTCGTTTTTCTTTTATGATTTCTTTATGCCATCTAAAAGTTGTGTTAGACACAACGTTACGTCTAAATCTTCTCATAAATTCTATTGAGCTAAAGTTATAGTCCAGTTGTTTTCTACTTGGCAAGCGCGTGTGAGATTTGCCCGTCACTCATGAAGGTGGAGGAAGAGCTGAGGAGCGGCGGCGGAGCGGTGAGCGGTGCTCGGGCCAGCAACGACTGCTGCATCACCAGACTGCTGAGCGTCGTGGAGAGCGAGTTACAGGCCGGTCGAGAGAAGGGAGACCCCACTGAGAAACAGCTCAAAGTCACCCTGGAAGATTCTGAACTCTGGAGGAAATTCAAAGAATTGACTAATGAGATGATTGTGACCAAGAACGGCAGGTGAGCCTCCATGAACCTGATGCCAAAGTTGTAAAAGTAGGCTATTTGAATATAGCAGTGGTGTTTGTTCATATTAATTAATACATTTGTTTTGCACAGAAGCTGTTAGAAAACAGGTTTGTGATGTTTACTCGAACTTATTAACTTATTTTTCACAAATAACATTCACGTTCTTACATTCGAGTAAAAGTTATTATTGTTTATTCATTAAAGATCATATGGTTATAATTATCATTTAGTATTTCGTTCGTGTCGTGTCAAAAAATTAGATCTTAAGCGTTTTTTTATTATTAGTAATTAGTATAAAAAAAAATAAATAAAAAAAAGATTAGTAATGAAATAAGTACGAAATTCGCGTCTTAAAGACTATTAATTTTGACTTTTTTTTTTTATATACCTGTACATACATAAAATTGCCCCAAAAATATTTTGATACTGAAGTCAAACAGATGTATGATGCATTATAATGTGTCCACATTGTTTAACAAAATATCAAATCAAGTGACATTTATTTTAAAAGAAGATAACAAGCACTCTTCAAGCAAAACATTCCACAAAAGACGTTTTATTAGGGTTTTAGGAAATAAAACAATATTTATACTGTTAAAAATAAAGACAAAAAAGTATATGGACACTTTCCGGTTGTCTCTCTGCTGCGTAAACTCAAGCTTTCAAAAATGGCTCAAAAAAGTTAGTTCTGGTGGGGAAAAAAAAAACGTTTTTAGTCATTTGTATCTAATGTAATGACATTAAAGCATTTTTCAATGTTACTTAGGTATCCAAATACTTATAGGGGCCACTGTAAACATAAAATGTACTGTAATATTGTTTCTTGAGAGAACAGAAAATTGAAGTCAAGATAGTTTATCTAAACTTTAAAAGCAATTTTGTTAATCTTAATCTTTATGAAAATATTTATTCATTTGTCAGTTGTAGTTTTGGTGTTAATTTGGAAAAATTTAGAAGTGTTCTCATTACATTCTGCATTAATAAAATTAAACTATAAAAAAATTAAATTATAAAATTGTCCCTGTGGTCCAGTTATCCATCAGCAGGTTTATTATTTTGTGTTGCTGGTATTGGCACATGGTGGTGTTTTTATGTTTTTTTGGAACGGGCAGATTCGTTTAATTGAAAAGGCTTGTTGTGGTGTTATCGAGCTGAAGGGCGACTTGACCAACTCATTCAGTAGTTACAGGTCAGCTCTGCAGGTGGGTGTCCTTCCATTTGCAGCCCCTCTTAAACTTGTTCTCATCCACAAAAAATTATCATGGGGGAAAAAAGATGAAAATGACTAGCGTCCAACCTCTCATGAAGTTTGTGCTTGTAACTGCTCATAGAGTTTTGGCAGCCAGTGTGAATCATTGTTGGGGATCACTTTTAATCATGTGTGTAAGTGTGTGTGACAGATTTTGGACAGTTCTATTAAGATTTTTGTCTTAAAAGGATAGTTCTCTTAAAAATTTAAATTCTGTCATGCATTTACACCCCTCATGTTGTTCCAAATCTATATGAGTTTTGTTGTTCTTCATGTGGAACACAAAAGATGTGTTTTGGTCCATGTAATTAAAGTTAGTTGGGTCCAAAGCAACATTGGAAGCCTTTGACTTTCAATGTATTGAACGTCTTTATTGGTTCCATGAAGAACCTTTAACATTCACAGAACCTTTCTATTTCACAAAAGGTTCTCTATATTGGAAAAATATTCGTTAGATTATTAAAATGTTGTTCACAGTAAGAAGAAAAGTGTGCTTCTTGTAACTGTTCACTGAAAGGTTCAAAATGGTTCTTCTGTGGCATCGTTTTGAAAACCCCTTTTGGAACCTTTCTTAAAGGGATAGTTCACCCAAAAATGAAAATTTGATGTTTATCTGCTTACCCCCAGAGCATCCAAGATGTAGGTGACTTTGTTTCTTCAGTAGAACACAAACGAAGATTTTTTAACTCAAACCGTTGCAGTATGTCAATCATATAATGGAGGTGAATGGGAATCACGGCTTTGAGAGTCAAAAAAACATACACAAACAAAACCAAATTAAACTCCTAATTGAGATTGTAGATAGAGTGTCAATGGTCCATTTGAGAGATAGGTGGCGGTAATGCACTTATAAGTCTGTCGCGTCACGCGCCGGCTGAAGAAGAAGACGCGAACGCGCTCAGGACGCGCACAGGACAGTTCGGACATTGCAGTAAATGAACATTGCAGAGGTAAAAAAAAACAATATAAATACTGTCCAGTTTCTTGCACAGACCGATCATTTCGTGTCTTTACACATAAATGTATCCTCACGAGCCGCAGGGTTTAATTTGGTTTTGTTTGTGTATGTTTTTTTGACTCTCAAAGCCGGGATTCCCATTCACTTCCATTATATGATTGACAGACTGCAACGGTTTGAGTTAAAAATCTTTGTTTTTGTGTTCTACTGAAGAAACAGTCACCTACATCTTGGATGCCCTGGGGGTAAGCAGATAAACATCAAATTTTCATTTTTGGGTGAACTATCCCTTTAAGATCTTTTGTGCAATGGAAATGTTCCATGGATGTTGAAGGAACCATCAATGTCAATAAAGAACCTTTATTTTAAGAGCGTACAACTGGTTCAGAAACACTTTTTTAAATTTCACAAATAATTACCAAGAACCTACAAGCAACACGTTGAATTAAACATGAAATTATTAGAAAGACTAAAAGTAGAAAGACTGAAAGAAAAAAGTTGCAAGACTGAAATTGTATTTTCTTGTAAAACGTACTTCAGTTATCTTTGTTTTATTTATTGCTTTGAAAAGGCATTTTTAGGAGCTCCAGTTAGCATTTTAAGTAGTTCTTCTGTCATGATTCCTCCTTTGTAGGAGGATGTTTCCAATTCTGAAGGTCAGCGTGACGGGTCTGGATCCCAACGCCATGTATTCGTTCCTCTTGGACTTCAGTCCTGCAGACGGGCACCGCTGGAAGTACGTGAACGGCGAGTGGGTCCCTGCGGGCAAACCTGAGCCTCACAGTCACAGCTGCGTCTACATCCACCCCGACTCGCCCAACTTCGGTGCCCACTGGATGAAAGCTCCGGTGTCCTTCAACAAAGTCAAACTGACCAACAAACTCAACGGAGGTGGCCAGGTGCTGAAATGCTGACACATACAAGACATACACAGTGAACTGACTATCTTTATAGCTAACATAAGTTTCCACTGCACTTTCTTCGACTGATTTCTCATCTAATCACATTGTTAAATTGTTCCCCGAAAAAAGCCTAAGAAAACAAAGACGCCCTGCACATTTTGCACATGTAACGCTCATGTTGTGCAGGTGTGTAATGCTGTACGTGACCTGTTCCGTAATCTTGAGTAGCCTCTCAGGGCTCTTGTGTGTCCAAACAGGCTTCTAGCTTTTAGGAGTCTTGGCCTGCCTTTAATCACCCTGTGCGCGGCCACAGGGAAATTTCAAGTGTGCATTTATACAATTAGTGCACTCTTCTGCATCCACTTCACCTATGGAGCCCCTTTGTTCAGCAGGGACTGCATGTAAACAGGAATAAACAGCTCTTAATTGCCACTTTTCTCGTTTAATGCACTTCCTGCCGTTCAGACAGAGAGTGGTCTACTTCAGCTAGCCATCCTGGCTTTCAGCGGGGCCGCTGCGAGGTGCTCCAGTCCGCTCCATTCGAGTATGACTCCGCCACCAAATTATTATTGGTATTTACATGACCCCTCCCCTGCGCCCTCCCCGCCACCCTATCCTCTTCTCCTCTATTCCTGTCTGTTCCCTATTTACCGGGGTTTTTAAACGCAGAGCTGGCAGCGGAGAGGACGATGAGAGAGAACCAGCTCTAAATGAAATAATTGCTGTGGTTAGTTGTACATTATGGTAATTACCTCTGTTTTTTCTATGCAAAATTAAGTTTAATGTTTATATAATTAATGTAATGTTCTTGGATATATGGGTAATTCATACTGAAATTTTTTTTTAATGTATTATTATAGCCATACAGCAGTTTTGCTTTGGATTTCAATCTGTTTTAATTCTTCTTTACCTTCAAAACCTATTTGCAATTCTGCATCCTCTTTGATACCTCATTCAATTAAAATTGGTTTAAAATACTGAATGTACTGGTACAGTATGGACCTACATTAGCTAAAGTCGGTATATACACTTGCAAAGAACCAAATTCTTTCTTACGTCCCTTTTCTCTTCTGTTCTGTCTACCTGGTCTAGATCATGCTGAATTCTCTCCATAAGTACGAGCCTCATCTTCACATTGTTGAGACTTCTTTCAAAAACATTAAAAAAGTATTAACAGTCCCAACCTTGAACAATGGTGTATGTGATTATTATATGAATATTAACCATTATGATAGATGAGTTCTGGATTTGAGGTTTGTCTCATGCACAAAGCTTTTTCTCTCTGTAGGAGCCATCCTAAGAATCATCTAGAACCTCCAGCTGAAAACCAGCATGTGGGCATACCGCACTGTTAGTCATTCATTTTCCTGTTTTTTTTTTCTATTTACATAATATGTGTTTTTGGCTGATTTACAGACATGTTTAAGAAATAAGTATAGCATTATGTTTGCAGTGTTATGTAAATCATATTGGTGTCCATTTGTTGGTTGCAGGCGGATGGTTCATATCAAACCCAGACACTCTGTGTTCTGCTAGTGGTGGTAACTTTCCGTACCCAGGAGGTTTACCACTTAATCCCCACCATGGGTACAAACACTACCCAAGCCTGCACGGGCACCGAGCAACCCCGTACCCATCACCCTACCTGCCCCACCATCATCACCACCGTGGCCATAACTCAGGTGATCTCTCAGAGTGCATTTTGAATCAATAATTACAGACAATCATGCAGTTTGTAGACAGGGTTCCCCAAATGGGCGTTCGTAAAGGAAATGCAAGGGCTTTGTAAGCTAATGAAGAATTTAATTGAAGAATTTCAACATAAATATTAGTATTGTAACTTGTAGTGTAAAATAAAATTGTTATAATTATCATTTTTTGTACTTTGCAGTACAATTATTATTATTATTAAATAAAACAATAAACAAACACTAAAAAAGATTGAATATGTTATGTTTTCTTGCATGCCATGTGACCATTAACATCAGAGAACCGTGAATATGCAAATGTGTCAATAAATTATTAAAATATGAACTTATCAGGGGTTACTTAAAGTAAATATTGCGTGTCCAAAGGGTTTGGCTGACAAAAAAAATAAAATGATTGGGAACCCCTGTATTAAGGGAATGATTAATCTAAAAATGAAAATTATAAAACGGATAGTTCCGGTCCTTGATTCTGATTGGCTGAGCCACGTTCAAAGCTGTTGTAAATTACTCTACAAACATACACCTTTGTTTACGTTTGCATGTTGCTTGGCAACCACTTTGCAACCACAACTGATTCTGAGGAACTACATTGTTTGGTGGAAGAATACTGTTTTTATTAATATCATTACACTTTATTTGCTCTGTTTTATTTTGTGAAACCTTACTACATATATGGAATAACCGTTTTATAAAAGCAATAAGCCCCGTGAAGCCGTGGTTTACAGTGAATTTATAACAGCTAAGGGGCGTTGTTAGGCACGACGCTAAGCGGGCTTATTGCTTTATGACGTAATTGTTTACTCATCATCCATCATGTTCCAAACATGACTTTGCACCTACTGTGGAACACAAAAGGAGAAATGTTTAAAAATGTTCAAGTCATTAATTTCAGTATAATGAAAGTGAATGGGGATCCAAAGCTCTAAACTTACAAAAGGAGTTGTCTTATATTTTCGAGTTTCCTATTTATTTAACAAATCTGTATCATGTCAAGTTTTCTAGTTGTCCGTTTTTTCTGTGCTAACTCGCGTCACTTTTTCTCATTTTTCCTTGAAGTGGCTCTGTCTGAGAATCTGAGTCCAGGTGCTGTGCAGATGTTCTCCGGTCACGAGGGCTGGACAGGTGTGTCTCCTTCTGGTCCTGCTGCGATGCTGTCTATGCAACCTGCTCCAAGCTCAGCCGGAGCCAGCAGGTCAGAGAGAAAACCGACTTATATACATTTAAACTTACACAATATTTCCAATAAGGTGTTGTAAAGTAAATAAGCTCATGTGATTTTCAGTCAGTATCCATGCCTGTGGACTGTGAGCAGCTGCACTGTATCATCCAGTCCTCCAGGGGGCATTGTGAGCTCCACACATAGCCAGGAGGAACCCACAGATGGAGGGTCCACCTCAACATCACCCTGCTCTTTACTGCAGGGCCACGGACCAACCAGCTCTGAGGGTGGTGTAGATCAAGCCAATCACAGTAGGCTAGGCAGGGTGAGCTGGTCTTCTGTCTCCACCCACTCATTTTGAGTGTTCTCATTAAATTGTAAAGAAGAGGTGTGCATGATCTTTGAAGATTACGAGTGTACAGCTGGTTCTGACGTGTCAATGGTCCTGTCCCCAATAACGCCATCAGCCATTTTCTCTGAGTTTACGCTTTAGTGACATAATAGCTCTGTTGGAATCAAAAATACCTGTAGGCACTCTAAATACTGTCAGGAGTTCCTCCAATAACCCCATAACCCCAAGAAAAAAGTTGATGTACTTGATTTCCTTCGAAAAAACTGTATGATATTTGAGGCACCTACCAAATTGGGCTACCAAATTTTCAAAAGCTTCTGCCAGACTGGAATTCTAAGGATCCCAAAAGAAAGACAAATGGTCTCTCTAAGAAACGAAGAAACATAGTCCAGAAGATCTCAAATCCGGACAGGGCCATCTTTTATCTTTTTTAATAGAAAAAGGGAAACTTTTTGTGCTTTCAGTGTGTTGTAAACTTGTCGTAATATCGTATTATTTGTATGTTTCGTGTTGTATGAGGACAGCTTTTGTGTGAATGTTGTCGTCAAAGTCAATGATCATCTAACAACACAGAGGTCATGGGTTCAATTCCCAGAGAACACACGATTAAAAAAAAGTAATTTGCATAAAAACGTCTGTCATAGAACTGTAAATGTACATATTAGTGTTTAAAAGTTTGGGGTTGAAAAGATTATTTTAAACGTTTTAGAGATTTTAGATCTCTTTTTAGATTTTAGTCTCTTATGCTCACCAAGACCGCATTTATTTGACCAAAAATACCGTAAAAACAAACTGTATAATTGTGAAATATTACTATTTAAAATAACTGTTTTCTATTGTAATATAATTGAAAATATAATTTATTCCAAATTATGGCAAAGCTGAATTTTCAGCAGCCATTATTTCAGTCTTCAGTGTCACAATCCTTCTGAAATCATTTTATTTAATACGCTGATTTGAACATTTCTTCTTCTTATTATCAGTGTTGAAAACAGTTTTTCTTGCATTTTTGTGGAAATGGTGATATATTTCTTTCAGGATGCTTTGATTAATAGAAAGTTCAAACGAACAGCATTTAATTAAAATAAATCCTTTTTAACATTATAAAAGTCGTTAGTCACATTTGTAAAGTAATAATTTTATTTTTATAAAAAAAAATCTTACTGACCCCAAAGTTTTGAAGGGTATTGTACATGTAACAGAAACTCGTTCCTTTATCTTATATTGATTTCTCTTCACAGTCCTTTTTTGTACATTTGTACAACAGTCTGGTTAAAAGTTCAAAGCGGTTATCTGAACACAGAGCATCTGACTGGAGTGACTCATAGAGGGAGCTTAATACAACCACAACTGTGCTAAAACTCAACAATTAGGCCCCAGCATAAATGGTTAGTTAATCAATTAAACTACTTTGGCTTGTGAAACAAGGCAGTATTTTGGCAGGCTCAGTGATTTCGCTCTTACCTGGATTTTTTTACCTCCACAACAGCAAACACATTCATTCACAATCTCTTTCTCTCTCACACACACACACACACACACATTCATTGCATTCACACTTTCAAAGGCAGAAGCACAAACACATTACAGTCGCATTCACACAACTACACACACACAGCTCTGCTTCCTCCAAAAGCAGGTTTCATTTACCCCCAGTTTTAAAACGCTGCATAAAGAGAAGACAATTATTCCCACATCATATTTTTCCGCTCTTGAAAATGTTATTTTAATTGTGCCGGTGGAGTGGACCACTCTGTTGTTTTCACATGAGTGTAAATAATAATGACGGCTGTCCAGTGAATGGGCCCTTGGCATGAGTTTAGGCCACTATGGGCATGCAGCAGACTCTCTCTCACACACACAGTGTCTAAACCGCTTCAGAAAGGACCAAGAAAATGTTCTGAATTTTATTTTCTTAACCACCTGATCACTTGTCTTTTCATTTTCCAACCCTGACTTTTTTCATATTAATCCTTATTTTTGGTCTGTGATGACAAACCTGAGATATTTAAAAAAAAAAAACAAAAAAAAAAACTTATGTACAAGACAGTGCTTGTATTGTTGTGTAGTTCTTTAAAGGGACAGTTCACCCAAAAATGTACTTAATCTCAAGTCATTCTAAATTTTAAAGAAATGTCTCAGTGTCTTTTTGTCCAGTGGTGTACTTCAAAATATCTTCTTTTGGTATTCGAGAAAATAATGACAGAATTTTATTTTTTTGGGGGGTGAACTATCCTTTTAATAAGAAACATTTAAAGTATAAAACATTCTGGTAGAGGACATAAATGAATGTTTTAGTATTTATGTAGCTAAAGGACTCCAGCTTCACTGTATTTGTTCTGTTATTTGTAATAATATTGGAAGCCCTAATGTGCCATCAAACCTGTTCAGATGTACCATTCTTTCATACTGATATAAACGATATATTGCAAATAAAGTCTGAGTTTCATCGTCTGTTAGTTGCCGCCTAGATACAGTGACTCAATGTCCATGTCATAGTCTTTCCTGGGCGGCTCCTCTGGGCTGGAGAACTCATCTCCAAGCATTCTCCACCATGAGAGACGCATGCTCTGCATCAACGCATTATGGGATCGACAGGGCAGGAGCGGCTCAGGAACAGACTCACATCCTCCGCTCTGGCATCCTTCAGTGACGGTGCATCTAAAATGAACAAACAAATGAGTGGTTTTAGATTGGTGGTTCTCATTGTCCACAACAATATTCAGATGCTCCATAACATTTCCTGTTGTTCATGATTTATTGGATAAGTGTTTTTAAAAATAGTTTTTGGGTTTGGCATAACCACAAAGAGGTATGTTCTTTTAAAGATGCACATGGTGTTATAAGGGTATCTGTAGGATTTTTAAAATCAAATGTAAGACTTTTTAAGACCTGCACAAAAATGTATACCATATATGTGGGGTAGGGCAATGACTATGGTAACATATTAAACTGTAAAATGACTGGCAAAATCATGATTTATAGTTCAGATAGAGGTTTTCACAAAAACAAAATGTTTTATAAAATGACAACCTTCACATTTCAACCTTTAAACCATTTTTATAAAAAAAAAAAGGATGAATCAAAAGTATAAATTATCACATTATTTTGAACAATTATTATCAATCAATTATTCTATTATTTTAATAACATATAAATAGTGTCTTAATTGTTGAGATTTTTATAATGCATTAGCATTCGCTTCTTGTCGATCCACCGGTTCACATTTACAACTGCGTGTTTGCTGCATAAAAATATAGGTCGATTTTCTATGGAAGACCGTTTCCGGCACTGGATAAAAAATAAAACAAGGTAATTGCGAGTTTTTATCTCACTATTCTGAGACTCTAATTAATTTTTTCTCGCACTTGCGAGTTTACATCTCGATATAAATGTGCAATTCAGATTTTTTTTCTCAGAATTGCGCGATATAAACTTGCAATTCTGACTTTTTTTTCTCTCAGATTGCGAGATATTAACTCGCAATTGCAAGGAATAAAGTCATAAATGCGAGATTTAAAAATGTGTGACACATGCAAATTCGCAATCGTAACCACATCTGAAATCTGGCTTGCACAGCTATAGTAGAAGCTTTTGCGCTCGCATCCAGTATTTGCATATGTTTCGGGCCTTACGCTTTGCAGAATTCATGAAACCATACTTCACAGCAGTAGATCAGCCATAGATTTAGGTACGTAGTTAGTAAAAGCTCAAAGTCTGTGTTGATCTGCGCAAGTAGAGCCTGTCTGTGCTGCTCATGTGCCCGATCAGATGCTCTGTGTGTTGATTAGGTGCTGCTGCAGAAGACTCTGGGCTCTCTGATGGAGCTCCACGCTGCCCTCTGCTGATGTCACCAATGACTGCACAACAGAAGAAGAAAAAACACCACCGTTTAGAAAATACATTTTTAAAATGAAAATTGTGACCCTGGACCACAAAACCAGTCATAAGGGTCAATTTTTCGAAATTGAGATTTATACATCATCTTAAATGAGGATTTGCCTTGAATAAAGCTTAACTGATGTTTTAACTCCAAGACATGAAACACCAAGAGAACACAATCACAACATCTTCAAGGTGACTCACGGGATGTAGAGAGATGTGCTTCTGTATCTGTTGCCTGAGCTCTGTTCTTCTACTGTCAGTCAGTCCTTTGGGTCCTTTTAATGGCGTGAGAATACTCCTTTGTGCTTTACGGCGTTTTAAAAACCGCAGAATCTGACAAATAAGAACATAAATGATCAAGATTATCAGAGAATAACAACTCAACCTCTTTAATGAATTAAAATGGCAAGATTTATGTTCATTCATTATTTTCAAATATGTACAGAGTCCATGTTTATTATAGGTTTACTTAAACTGAAACCATAAAAATGTACGTTTCTTGAAATTAAATAAAGTCTTAACTGGAATAAAATATAAAATAAATTAATAAATAAAACATTTTATTTGGGCTAGTTGCCAAGGTAACATTTCTCAGTTTATAACTAGGGTTGGGTATCGTTTAAATTTTATCAATTCCGATTCCGATTCTTTTTGATTCCCAGTTTCGATTCCAATGTGATTAAATAATGATATCAAACATTTATCCTGCGTCTCTTTTTTGCAAACCATTTATTGGAGCTGAATACCATGAACAAAAATCAACAGGCTAAATAAAAACTAGACTCTTTAAGAGCTGTTTGTGTGCAAAATAATATTCTAATATTCAAATCCGTTAAAGGATTTTTAGGCTGCATTAATTAGGTCAACCGGAACCGGGAACACTTCTCATAACACCCGATGTACTTGCTACATCGTTAGAAGAATGGCATCTACGCTAATATTAGTCTGTTTCTTTCTTATTCCGAGGTCACCGTTGCCACCAGATCCAGTCTGTATCCAGATCAGATGGTCACTGCAGTCACCCGGATCCAGTACATATTCAGACCAGGGCAGCGCGAACGCAGATTTAAATGTTCAAATCACACTGGTGTGATCGTACGCTGCACGGACGAACCACGTGATCACAACATTGATCGTACACGTCAAAGTTTGCGGAATGAAGCAGACCAATCATTGTAATTTAGGAATAGAATCATGTTGGAGTTTGAATCGTGTTCGCGATCTTTAACGATCTATTTAATTAAAGTGCTTTGTCATGTTGGTGGTGACACCTCTCTTGCAACATGTTTAGCTATCACGGATATTATACTT